TGAATGAGGTTTTCGTAGTATTGATAGCATATTTTTTAAGAAAGGCAACACAAATCTCATTACTCACAAGAAGCAAAAAATAATAATATAAATCTCCCAATTTATGTCTATTCTGTATATGTTTATCATTAATTTCGAAATAAATACATTGTCAAATGTGAAAACGTTAAAATTCTATATTTTATTATGTACACTGTTAAGATTTATTTACATAGTTTGAGGAGAAATAAATAATAAAAAAGCCATATGACTTGTATAAAGGTAAGGATTAGAGAAAATAAAGGATCTCATGAATAGAAAGGAGCTAGGAATAATTATATAAAAAAATATTGACTTGTTGTGATTTATGTATGTTAATATTTGTGTTTGAAATAATGGTCAAAATGGATCTGAAGTCTAAAATGTGAATACGTCAATGTTCTCCAATTTAATTAATTCTGCATTAATTTAGCATAAATGTGAATAATTAAGTTGTTTCAATGCTTCGTAACTATTTAATGAAATAAGTAATTAATGAAATGCTTTCGACATAAAAATAAAATAAAAAATTAAAGTTGTATTATTATGCTATGTTTGATAATACTAGTATAAGAAGAGAATAATAAAAAAGATAAAGCATTAATTCTTCGCAACATCTTCACAAATTGACATTTCAGGACAAAACGGTAAATATGAGAAAATTACAAACAATATAAATATTTTGTGAAGTCGGTGTTTCAATTTTTCAATGAAAAATGATTTTTGTTGTGAAACGAAGATGATACCAAATTGATCGAATACTACTTTTATTGAAGAAAATAAGAGAAGAGAGTCACAGTATACAGTAAAGATCTCAAAGATACAAAAACAATGCAATTTCAGAGTAAATGAGATTTTATTATGATATGGAGAAAAAATATAAAGATTTGTGTTTACAATAATTCTAATTTTATCAAATTCATAATGAAGAGGCAACTACATATATTGAATAAATAGGGGACATCCAAACTCCTATAATAGAGTTGTAGTTGAAGTTAAATACCAGAAAACTCATTAAAAAGTGAAAAAGGGCCCCAGACAAAAACAACTCCGCTCGAGCGGGCACTAGCCTCTCCGCTTTTAATGCTCGAGTGCCCAGCTACCCCAAGGCGAAAATGCAGCGAGAAAACCCTTTCTTTCCATAATTTTAACATCTTCAAGTTCAATACAAATTATAACTCTCAATAGGACTTCTAAATAGAATTTCAACTAAAACTTGCCAAGTATACTTAAATATGATTCGACAATAGCATTCCAAATAAAATTGCTTTTAAAGTGCACTCTTCAACAAAGAATTCCGATCACACCTAAATTCTAACAATTTTACTTTTCAGGCCTATCCAAAAGATATAAGATTGGATATTCATGCAAACCAAAATATACTTAGACGGTATTGGACATGATATCCAAGCAATCAAGAATGTGTTGGGAGGCTTTTGAATATGTTTATAAATTTTGTGAAGTTATGAACATTTAAAACTCAAGACATAATAATACAGTGAACTAAATAATAAACCTTTTTTTTTTTTTGGTGTACAACTTATAAAAGAATTATTTTTTGTCTGTCTGTCGAGAAATTTACAAATTAATATTATGTTAGCGTTAACATTTACATCTCTTATATCCACAAAGCAATTAATATACGAACAAGCTCATCATCATCAAAAAAGCTTGCTCGCAAACTCTTCAATTTCCTCCTCTTCTTTGCAGGAAGAAGGAGTTGCAAGATCTCTAAGCTGCGATAGGCTCCTTCCCAACTGCAACGCCACCTTCATTTCAAACAATTCTCCATTTTCTCTTCTCCCCATATCTTTTTCAATCAAGTTTGATTCTATGGACTCTTCCATCAGCTCAAAGAATCCGGCGTTGCTCCGGTACATCTCGAACACCATTCCTACTTGCCCACCGTGCTCAAATGTGTTTACTACACTTGCTAAAGCACCAGCAACAATTCCGAGCACCACCGCCCAAGAGCCATGATTAGGAGACCCAACAAAAGCGGAGCCAAGTGCTGCTAATCCTGTTAGCACAGGACCACCAATGGCTAGAAATTTGTTCAATTTCAAGGCTTTTCCTCCTAACCTCAAGTAGTCTGCTTTGTCTTTCTTTCTTATAACACCAATTATTTCTCTCATTTCCTCCTCCAACTTCCCATTCCAACCATTCCAACCTTTCTTCCCATCGAGGCCTTTCGCCTGCCTCCGGCGCTGCTCCGGCCACCACACCGCAGGCTCTACATTCCCGGGGAATTTCTTGAGCATTGCACCAAGAAGAGGAAGCGGGTAGGCCTTGTCAAGAGCCAAAATTTTTTCCATCATTTCCTTCACATCACTAGTTGCAGGATTACCCATTTCTATAATTGTTTGAATCTGATTATGAAGTTGTTTGA